GGGGGGGAGGAGGAGGGGGCCGGCCGATAACCTAACCTTTGCGCTGTGGACAGCCCTGCATATGCCCGCGCCCCCCTCACCCCGGACCTGCACAACCGGCAAGGCTAGGTTATCCTGAGGGGGGGGAGAGGGGGTAAGCCCGATAACCCGGGCTATCGAGGGACCCTAAAAACAATCTCTAAACTAGTCCACGTGCATCCCACACACCCGTGCCAAGGGGTGGCTCAGTGATGGCCGGGTGGCCTGTCTGCGCGCAGTGCCACGGCGCACGCCAGCCCCTTGCGGAGCTGTGCTGGCAAGCCCTGCCGTTCCCGCTCGCGTTGGGTCGGGAACGTCCTCCTACAGGCGGATTTCAGAAGACACGCGAACCATAGTCAACAAATATGCAAAAATAGCCCAAAAGCGAATAGAAACATCGTTCCCTGACTATGTTTGTGACTATTTTTCCCCATATCCTAAGATGGGGTTCTTGTTCCCCATATCCTAAGATGGGGTTCTTGTTATTACTTGGACGCCTTCTACTCCTTCTCCTCCCTCCTCCTTCCTCCTCCCCTCCTCCTCTTTCCTCATACTCAAACCTACTCATACTCAGAATTACTCATGCTCAGACTTACTCATACTCAGACCTACTCATACTCAGACTTACTCACACTCAGACATATTCATACACAGACTTACTCATACACAGACTTACTCACACCCAGACGTACTCATACACAGACTTACTCATACCCAGACTTACACATACACAGTATTACTCATGCTCAGACTTACTCATACCCAGACGTACACATAAACAGACTTTCTCACGCTTGGAGAGCAGATTGTGAGGATGTCTCAGGCGGGGCGCTGGTTTCAGCACCCCTAAGGGGAGCCGCCAGGGGTGTTTGCACGGGCTCGTTCGCGGCCATTTTGTGGGGATGTCTCAGGCGGTTTGCTTGTTTCTGGGCCCAACATCCTTCGCTTTCGGAGCAGATTTGGATGATGTCTCGAGCGAGGCGCTCATTTCAGCACCCCTAAGGGGAGCCGCCAGGGGTGTTTGCACGGGCTCGTTCGCGGCCATTTTGTGGGGATGTCTCAGGCGGTTTGCTTGTTTCTGGGCCCAACATCCTTCGCTGTCGGAGCAGATTTGGAGGATGTCTCGAGCGAGGCGCTCATTTCAGCACCTCTAAGGGGAGCCGCCAAGGGTGTTTGCACGGGCTCGTTCGCGGCCATTTTGTGGGGATGTCTCAGGCGGTTTGCTTGTTTCTGGGCCCAACATCCTTCGCTTGGAAAGCAGATTGTGAGGATGTCTCAGGCGGGGCGCTGGTTTCAGCACCCCTAAGTGGAGCCGCCAGGGGTGGTTGCACGGGCTCGTTCGCGGCCATTTTGTGGGGATGTCTCAGGCGGTTTGCCTGTTTCTGTGCCCAACATCCTTCGCTTTCGGAGCAGATTTGGAGGATGTCTCGAGCGAGGC